ACTACTGTGTACATCCAGTTCACAATGGGCGGCTTCAAGCCCCACTTTTTTCCTATTACTGATTTACAGGCATACAGGGCAGTTATAGCCTTCTTGCAACGCTCTTCAACATTGCGCCGCCAAGTTAGCTTTCTGTCCAATACAACGCCCAGGTATCTAACTTCCTCCGAGAGGGCCAGCGTAACACGGTTCAAGGAAGGAAGTTGCATCTGGACCGTTTTAATTTTCTTTGTGAAAAGAACCATGACTGTTTTCCCTGGATTAACGCCAAGGCCAGATTCCTTGGACCAGGTTTCCACAACGCGTAAGGCGCCTTGGACCAGATTCCTTGGATCAGGTTTCCACAACGCGTAATACCATGTCCCCACCAAAAAGTTAACCATCTCAAATCGAACTTAACCACATCACTAACTATTGCTGTCCACACTGCGGTTTGAGGTTTATAAAACAGTACAAATGTAAAGAACAGTGTTCGGCCCAAAAATCGATTCAGGACTAAATTACTGCAAAAATCGGAGCAAAAACAAATTTTCCGTACTAGATTGAATTTTTTATTTTTGTTTCTGACATTAACTGTTTGACTAAAATATTTTCTACTCATGCAAAATAAGAACGCGAGGCAATATAAGGATAATATATTACATATTTAGGTAATTTTTAGCATTTTAAATATAGTAGAACGTATTAACACTTAATTTTTTAAAAAGCAAACCTTTTCTACTTTATATAAATTTCATTCCTCATATATTTTTTAACAACTTAAGTAAAGTTCTGCATCCGCCAATTTGTGCATCCATACATCAAAGAATAACGATGTTACTTTATTGACGCATTGCTATGAAAGAGTTACTTTTTAACAGTGAGATTTGGCTAACTTTCAATTTTTTAACTGAAACCGGTGGTGAACACTCAAAAAACGCCACCAATAGGGGCATAGCATGAATGAAAAAAACGGAATAGATTTGAAGTCAAGCGGAGTAGAGGAGTAGATTTCAATTTTTTTTTTAAATCGGAGTAAATCTAATTGATTTTAGTCGAGTCCAAACACTAGTACCCACAGATGGCGGGCAAACACTGGGTTGTATCAGACTTTCGACGTGGTTTCGAGTTGGTTAGCTTTTAACCATCTCAGTGAAATGGTTAAGTGCTGTCATTTTTATATGGCGAAATTACGCTAAATCAAGTGGGTTATCGGGATAACCAACTCTATAGCCATAACTACGTGGTTAGCTTCGGTGGGGACATGGTATAAGGCGCCCTGGACCAGGTCATATAGAACTTGGGGGTGCTTACCTACCGCCGTCAGCGCCAGATCATCAGCGTAGGCAACTACCTGACAGCCTGTGCTCTGCAGCTGCGACTGCAGAGTATTCACCGTAAGATTCCACAGGAGTGGGGAGAGGACACCGCCTTGCGGGGTGCCGCGGTTTGTTAGGGCGCGGANTCAGACTTTCGACGTGGTTTCGAGTTGGTTAGCTTTTAACCATCTCAGTGAAATGGTTAAGTGCTGTCATTTTTATATGGCGAAATTACGCTAAATCAAGTGGGTTATCGGGATAACCAACTCTATAGCCATAACTACGTGGTTAGCTTCGGTGAACAGCTTCTGGGAGAACATTATTGAATGCACCCTCGATATCAAGGAATACGCCTAATGCATATTCCTTAAGCGCTATTGCCTTTTCAATGGTGCTGACAATACTATGCAAAGCTGTATCTACAGACCTGCTTTTCCAATAGGCATGCTGACAGCTAGATAATTTACTTAATTCAATTTCTTGTCGGATCTTCACGTCCAGTAGTCTTTCCAGAACCTTCAGGAAGAAAGATGTAAGGCTAATCGGTCGAAAGTCACTTGGCTTCACGTGGGATGGTCTACCGCCGTTGGGAATGAACACAACCTTCGCCAGTGTCCATCGCATCGGACAAGGAGTATCAGACGTTGCTTGAAGTTCGGCAGGGAAGATGCCGTCCATGCCTGGAGAATTGTAGGGCTGGAAGGACCTTATGGCCCAATCTACCTTTTCTACATTAATAAAATCTATGTATTCTAAGGAGCGTCCAGAAATAGTGCGAGCAACGCCAGGCTCCTCAGTACACCCTGGAAAGTGGGCGTTCATCAGAACCTCAAGCATCTCCTCTTGGGATGATGTCCAGTCGCCATTCGCCTTCTGAATAAACATTGGGTTCGTCGGATTTTTGGCAAGCACTTTTCGCAAGCGATTACCCTCCGATTGTTCTTCTATGCTATCACAATAATCCTTCCAGGAGTCCCTTTGGGCTTTCCTGGTGGCATTCTTAAATTTCTTCAAGGCTGCTTTGTAAGCAGACCAAGAACCATTACACTTTGCAGTGTTGAAGAGCTTCCTGCTTTCCTTCCTCNCCTCAAGCATCTCCTCTTGGGATGATGTCCAGTCGCCATTCGCCTTCTGAATAAACATTGGGTTCGTCGGATTTTTGGCAAGCACTTTTCGCAAGCGATTACCCTCCGATTGTTCTTCTATGCTATCACAATAATCCTTCCAGGAGTCCCTTTGGGCTTTCCTGGTGGCATTCTTAAATTTCTTCAAGGCTGCTTTGTAAGCAGACCAAGAACCATTACACTTTGCAGCGTTGAAGAGCTTCCTGCTTTCCTTCCTCAAAGAGGCAATTTCTTTGGTCCACCAGTGTGGCTTCCTCTTTCCTCTCGGAAGTACAATTGGACAGGACGCAGTTAAGGCCATATTACAGGCATTGGTGATGCAATCTACGGCTTCTTCAATTTGTTCCGATGAGCTTAACTCACCGAGAGAAGCATGGTTTGCGAACAGAGGCTCCGCTTCATCAGATGGTAACAGTAAGCCGAGCCTACTGAGAGAAGCGTCATTGAGCAGAGACTCCGATAGTACCCTCCTAAACACAGTCAAGTCGGTACGTCTCTTGTTTCTATACAGAACCGGAGCCAGAGATTCCGAAGAGAGTNCTACGGCTTCTTCAATTTGTTCCGATGAGCTTAACTCACCGAGAGAAGCATGGTTTGCGAACAGAGGCTCCGCTTCATCAGATGGTAACAGTAAGCCGAGCCTACTGAGAGAAGCGTCATTGAGCAGAGACTCCGATAGTACCCTCCTAAACACAGTCAAGTCGGTACGTCTCTTGTTTCTATACAGAACCGGAGCCAGAGATTCCGAAGAGAGTTTTCGAATGATAGGTACATATGATCAGAGAATGAATGGTCGTTTAGTACATGCCATTCCTTAATACTCTCCAAGAAAAAGTTAGACGTTAAGGTAATATCTAGTACCTCCTCCCTGTTTGAGGTAACAAAGGTGGGTCAACTACCAATATTACAAATAGCTACATCATAAGATAGTATGAAGTCAGGTAGTAACTCACCTCTTGGGTTGATGGTGGTAGAACCCCATAACGAGTGGTGCGCGTTTGCATCGGCTCCTACCACGACGTGAAACTTCCTTAAATTGGCCTCTTTCACCACGTCCAGTAACCTAGCAGGGGGGCAGTCCTGGCGATCGTGAGCCATATAGGTTGAGGCCAGCCAGAGTTTGGTGGATGTGCCCTCCACAATGATGCTCACCGTGTTTTCATCGCTAAAATGAGTGAGTAAATTATAAGAAATAGTTTTCTTGATTAATATACATACTCTGATCTTACCTGCCACTGGGGCCGACACAATGTGGTAAGCATCAGAGTTAAGTCCGCAGACCCTGTTTTTTACAACCTAGGGCTCTTGGACAAAAATTAGCTCCTCCCCTTTGTCACCAAGGAGCAGGAGCAGAGCTGCGGAGGCTGCTTTGGAGTGGTGAAGGTTAATTTGTAGGACCTTCATCCACAGCCTTTGAGGGGTTGTCGCCACCATGGCTCCTGGCGCGGTCCCTTTGGACCTTTCTACCAGAGTATCATTGGCGTCCTCGTCTCCGATGCCAGGAACAGGTTCTCGAAATCCCTCGTCCATTGGCCAAAATCAGACCCGTCTCCAGAAGCGGATTGCGTATCGCTTTCCGATTCTCATGCCGAGTCTTATTCCTCCGTCAGACGAGTGACCACGGGACCCTCCTGGACTTCTTGGCTGGAGGCAGGACCGCTCGAGGCGTTTTCTGCCCTACTCGAAATAAGGCCTTTTTCAGGTGGCAGATTATCGGGTTCACTCGCGGTGCTTCCCAGTTCAGGAATTTTACCCTCATTCCCTTTCTGGGGTTTGAGAGTGATGGAGTAGAAGCTGTAGCTGATGACTCCATTACAGTCAGCGAGGATCGGAAGAGATTCGTCGGTTATTACCAGGGTAATATAACGCTGCTGTTCCCTAACCTCACTGATCTTCACTACTCTCCAATCAAGGGCTGGTAGTGTATCGTTGGAGATCTGGATAATCTCCAGAATCCCCTGCGGACTAGCGGGTTCCTCCGGGACCCATGCCCTGGCTCGCGGCCTACAAGGGATTTCATCCTTATGCACTGCCACTAGGTCAGCGCCGGGCCACAGTTCCCCAAGCGAATATATGGCCTCCTTATAGAGCCGAGCCGACCTTTCGTCGGCGCACGCTACCAATTTAATACGGCCTTGGTATGGGCCTGCGTCGCGAATGACAGGAGCAGGGCCAGGATTCCTTTGGAGAATATCCTTATATACCCGGCAGAGACCTACAAGGACAGTCCTCCAATTCTCGGCCGTCAGGTTTCCCTCCGGGTTCCCCCTGTCCATTACAGCCAGAACCAAATGGTCTTTTGCCACATCATTAAATGCCCGAGGCACCCGTGAAGGGTTTGGCGGGCTCTTCTTGTTAGAGGTTTTAGGCCTCTTCGATGGGCCGTCGGCATCATCTGCCGATAGCTGCCTTTTGGGGGCCAGTTCCCTGGAAGCTGAGGGAGTGGGTTCAGGGTTATTTAAGACACCCTTCCCCTGACTCCGTTCCCGGCTTTCAGAGAGAATGCCCATTGCCCTCTCAAGCACATCCCTCATATTCTCGGGAACCGGATTGTCCCCGAATTTCTTCAGCAGCATGGAAGCGGCTCTCCTGAGCCGCTTCGCTCGCACTGCTTGGCGTACCCACTTAATTGTCCCTGAACTACTGGGACGAGGGTACTGCTTCTCCAACTGTGACCCCACAGGGGGGCTTGTGGTTGGCATTCCTATTGCCCATGCAGGGCTCCCAGGTGCCAGTAACGCCCCCAACCGGAGCTGCTATAGAGCTTCCCTAAAGGGGTGTGCTCATTGCCCCTCTTGATGAGGACGCCTGGCACGAGAGGTTCATCGGCCGTGTAGGCTCTGTTGGCATCCCAGACGCCAGTCGCTCGCTACCGCCCGAGGGTTTGCAGCTACCAACCCTGGGCTCAATGTACGATTTAAGTGACCGTGAAGGCCTCTTCGAGACCGATCCAGCGGCTACCGAGGATATCTCTTGACTATTTATAACACCGTGTCCGTCGGCGGCATTTTTACCGTGCAGGGACCCGGGGCCTCATTATTCGTATTCATACTCATCTGGTTATTTTGTCACCTACTGAGCCGAAACCGTTCGGCGACCGTGTATAAAGGTAAGGGGAAAGAACGGTCGGCCACAGCAGAGCCCCATGCTACAGTAAGTCCACCGTTACTCCCGGAGGCGGACAGGTATCCGGGAGGCGCCGTTAAAATACAGTCGGAAGACTGCAAACCATCCAATAGGCACGGTGACGCATGACATCCTAGATTAGGGGGGCGTTTTATACCTACCGCCGGGTACCCCCTATAAATAGCCTAAGTATGCCCCCCAGCCCCCATTGGTCGAGCCAAGAAGAGACAGGAGAGTTTATACCTCGGCCTTAGCTAGGCACCGCCTACTTCCACCACTGCGGCGTAGCAGCGGTGCAAGCAGCGATGCCCATTGCCCAGTCGGCACCCGCTTGGAGGATATATCTAAGAGGTGTCCATTTTAGCCAAATGTTTGTTTAAGAAGTTTTACAACATGATAAAATAGTTATAATTTTGCTTAAACANCGATCGCACAAGCTACGGTATCCATTTTAACAAAATATTAGTTTAAGAAGTTTTACAGCATGATAATTTTGCTCAAACGCTTTGTTTACTTCACAACAGCTGATTTCGAATGGCCGAAAATTTACATTTGAGTTTGGCAGCACTTTTTTCGAGTTCACATGGATTCAGTGATAGCAATTCTTTCGTATTCGACATACGATGGATTCAGGGATAGGGCTGATAGCTAAAGGCGATATTTGAATAATGATTTCTTGGAAAAATTTTATTTTTTATAGTTCATTTATTTTTGAAGAATCCTGTTGAAGCGTAGTTCATCAGTTTGGGAATTTTTGATAACATATTCCTAGAATGACATAAAAAATGATGTTGCCGATTTCTCACTGCGGCAATAAATCGGCGAGTCGGGTTCTCAAAAATAGTCATTTGCTTGTAAAAATCGTCTACGTATCAAGCAAATTAATAAATAGAATCAGGAAGCTCTTTTTGTTTTTTTTTTTGCAATCTATTCTAACTTCTGTATGCAATGCGTAAAAAATAAATAGTTTAACTTTTTTACGAATTTTTAAAACTCGCATTACTCTTCACAAAAATTGTTTTAATTGCAATAAAATCACATTTTCATCTTCTTTTTTTTCAAACTTCAACTTAACTTTGTGCATTAAAAACTGTTCATACTTACAAGTTTTGCTAAACAACTTACAGCCGCACTCAGAAACATTCATTAAAATAGCTCTAACGGGCACTTAACTAATGATCGTTAATTATGTTAATTAATGTTTCCTCTCAGAGTTAAAAGATAAGGCCTCATGAAATTTAAGTATGGGCCAAGTTGCGGTCCTTCTTTTTGTGGCATCACTCACTTTTTTCGTCGAGTTTGAAATCAAATATAAAAATAAGTATTTATATCATTTTGCGCACACTACGTAAACAGTCACAATGGCCTAGTGAGTAGAGCACTGGCGTACCATCGAGAGATCCGAGTTCGAGCCCTACTGCAGAAAATTATCCTTTCCTTTCCTTTTCCTTTTTTTATTAATTATTTTATTTTTTTGTTAAATTTTTGGAAACTTTTATTTCATTTTGTTTTTTATTTTTTTGATAAAATTTTTTGTAGATTCTATTATTTTTAAAAGGGAACTAATTTGTTTTTTATTTAATTTAGTTTTTAGAAACTGCAAACAGACAAAGAAAACAACTAACAGGCCAATTCTTGCATCTGCCTTTCATCTCACCACAGTCTTTCGAAAGACAAAAGGGTAATTCCATTGTGACTAGTGGGACATTTTACTCCAGAATGTGAGTAATTGTGAATTTTAACTATGCCGTCGGAACTTATACAATAGCGAAAGATATTTTTTAACATAGTACGATAACTAATGTATTAAATTGTTTTAACAAAAGTACCAAGCGATTTCTAAGTTTTATGTAACTATCATTTGAATGAATGTGACTGGTGGGACACTAAAAATAAAACAATTTTACCCTTGTGAACTCAAAGATGGATTTTAGCCAAAACACTTAATTTTCACGAACGCTGTATTTGTGTTGTAAAATATAAATTATACGCTTTTGTTTGCAATAAAAATGAGGTTTATATATTCTTCATAGAAATATTAAAAAATATTTAAAGTTGTGACTGGTGGGACATCTCCATGTGACTGGTGTAAAGTAATTATGCATGAAACAAAAGTTTCCATAGACAAAAATTACGGCTTCTTTTAATTTTTTTTTAATATTTTATAACAGGTTA